ATTACCATTATTATTATTAACAATAATAATATTAATTAAATATGCAAAATTATAAATGAATCTTGCCATTTCTCCATCAATGAATAATCAAGGAAGTTAATTTACTAGTCATCAGTAATGGCGTCCAGAAAGTTTTCTGTATTTTTTCCAGCTTCCTTTTATTTCTTCTTCGCCTTCTTTGACCAGTTAATCTCCTCTTTTTTTCATTCAATACTGTTCTCTTCTTTAGTATGTATTTATTATAAAATAGATACAGATGAACAGAATAAGAGAGGGAAAAAAAGACCACCACTGAATTGTGTATACTTTTATTTGTTCCCTATCTTAGTGCTTTATTTAAAAAACTTGTCATTTTATCCATCTACGCTGTTATGCATGCATGCAAGTATATGAATATGTTTATTAGTGAAGGAGTATGTGTGCACATATGGTTGCGGCAACAACCGTAATAGCAGTATTAGTACAGATGGTAGGAAAACATTGCGGTGGGTGAAGTCTAACCACTTTTATTAAGAGCAGTTGTCTTTTTTAAACATTTAATATTACAAACAATAAAAATAACTATAACATTAGTAATGGTAGTAGTCATATTAAGCACACTTCTCTCACACACACTCTCTCTCTCTCTCTCTCTATATATATATATATATATATATATATAGAGAGAGAGAGAGAGAGTAAAATATGTAAGTGGAAAATCACTCGAATTCCATTTCAGTCGTAGCATTGTTAAGTCAATAGATCATTGAATGTATCTTATTCTTAAGTTCAATGATCTCCATAAAGTGCTTATTAATACATCTATTTATTCTTTATTAACAACCTGTAACTGTATAGATAATAGGTAAAAATAACAAAGAATGTATAGTAACTATGAAAATTCAAGAAAAAAAGACATTGTTGATTTAGTATTCACTTTCATCACAGAACAATAAAATAGCAGATATAATGAATTCAGAATTCTCAAACATATAACTTAATTATTATTTTTATTGTAAATTTGCCTATATTTTCAAAGAGAAGTATAATTCACTAACTAATTAAACCTAGAATAAATTGAATGTCAGATCTCTAACTAGACTTTTAATCATCGATTTAAGAACATTACATTAAAAAACTCGAAGTTCAACAAAGGGATCGCTTTTCTACCAGTTCACCTACTTTTGTGAAGCAAAATACCTTGACCATAGCTAGTGCTCTTTGCAACTCGGATACAGGGACACATCCTAGTTTGGTTTTACAAGGGTGAGAGAGAAACAGTTAGAGTTCTATACTTGAACATCTAATCATCTGTAATCATTCTACAGATCCACAGTTTGATTTTAAGGTTGTTTATATGATTCGTTCAAATCTATCTAGATTTCTTCCTATTAAATTCCTAAAAATAACCCAAGCTCTTACCATCCACGAGCTCAAGATAGAACTATGCATACAAAAGAAATACGTCCTATCATTATCATTACATTGGTCTTATTATTATTATCATTATTATTATTATTAACACATTTCCCCATTAACTTGTCTCATATCCTCATTATGTTATTTATAATTGCTTATGATGTCACTACTTATTCACTTTTAACACCTTTATCACCCTTAATTATTATTTTTTTAAAAACATTTAAATCACTTTACTACATTCATGTTATAATTCGTTACTAATTTATTAAGTTTATTTTTATTATTCGTATTACGTAATCTAGTATTGTAATCTTTCTATTATGTCATCTTGCTTATTCCTTGTTCACATTTCTTCACGGAATTAATACTTTAACAAAAATTTTCAGATATATATATGTGATTGTATAGCTTGATAATAAATTCGTTGAAAAAAGATCCCTTCACTGAACTTCGTGTATTTTCATGTTTAAATGGGAATTATCTGTCAACATTACATTAACTTGTCAGTTATTTATCAATATAGGATTGTGGAGATTGTTGAGTTTTTCCAGTTAATCTGTTATCCTGATGAGGATCTAATCGAAAACAATATTGTTCGCTTATGTCTATGTTGTTTTAAATTTACAATATGGGATATTTCAAATATATATATCAAATTTCATATTCATTCTGGGACTTGAACTCAATATCACTTTAAACGTCATAACGTTATCCACATAGCTATCGAGTCCTGATAGCCACTTGCTTATGCAGTGGGATGAAGTTTGAATTCATCTTGTGACTTGAGGCAGTATCGAGGCAATACGCACGGGATGCATATATACTAATAAGATACTGATAAACTGCAGTCCTGACCACCAATGAGAAGACACAAGTAAAGAATACCAAGTGAATTTAATTACTATCGTTCTCGTGCGCGAGAATGCTAGGTCCCGGGTTTGAATCCCCTGAGGCGGGATCATGGATGCACTCTGCTGATAAGTCCTATATTTTATAAGTTAAATATAGTATCAATTTAATGTTAAATTTCATTGAAATCATGAACTGATCAAATTTAGACAATCATTAAAAACCTGGCAACATTTGATTAATGTTTCATCCTTTAATCTGTTCATGATTTTAATAAAAATTTAATCTCCATAACCTTATATTATATTTACTAAAATGTTTTTAAATGAGGTCATCATAGAAAATGATAAAGGATGGGAAAAAAATAAATAACAAGAACAAGAACAACAGAGAAATAGGATTGATTTATAAATCATTAAAATGATATAAAACTGTCAACAACAAATTTAACATAAACATATAAACACTTATAACATTTATTGTATTTTATTAACAAGATATCATTTTCTAAAAAGTGAATTATACTGATAATAGTGAGTATAATAATAGATAGATAAATAAATATAAATTAAATATATAAAGTAATTTAGAGAAGAATGAACTCATTTTCATTCTCTTTTCATTATGTATATGTATATATGTGTGCATTCAGTTAGAGATAAATATTGATATTAAACACTTATATATACACATAAACAATGATATGCATATACAGCATTAATGGACTCAAATCAACTTGTCAAAAACTCAACTATTTTTTTTTTGTATATTTACAAAAAGGTAATTGAACAATGGAGTTGTTCTTTTTTTTTTTTTTTTTTAGACAGAAAATCATTACTCATTATAATGAAAATACATGATTATTTATTTGCAAGAAGTTAGATTAATTATTGTGATGAGCTGATGAACATTTTTTTTATTTTTTAATTCATAAGGGGTTTTGTGAAGATTTTAGTCATTTTATAATTGAATTTATGAAGTTAAGCGTTCACGTGCGAGACTAATAAGTCCTGGGTTCGAATCTTGCGGGGTGGGATCGTGGATGGGCACTACTAAGGACTAAATGGCCGTCCAGTGGTTTTAGGTTTTCCATGGTAGTCTAGCTTCAATTGACTGATGAATTCAACTATAAAATCTTTTTGTTTTGTTTTCTAGTTTGATCATTATTTTAAATATATAAATGAATGTGTTACTAGTGCTGAGAGATTTAGAATTAAAATAAAACAATATTGAAAATAATGATATCGTAGTTTGTAACAGCTTAAATGATGATTGTTATGTATAAACACACATCAACAGATTGGATTATTCAGTGATTAGCAGTTCCAGTCTTCCGATTTATTCAATTAATAAATAAATGGCGACTTCATATTTATCTAATGTAATTCATTCACTGTTACAATTACTCGAAATATTACTGTCGGTACTATTACTATGTGAATTGTAATCTTTTTAAATAATAATAATACTATAATGAAGTGTTGTGTATGTGACGAGACATACACTTGTTTGTCAAAGTAAGTTTAATCTACTAATTCAGTTAATTAAATAATATAATTCTGAATACTTTTCTTTGTAAAGAAGAATAAAATTATGAAAACTGTATATGATTGATTTGATTACCCTCTCTATATGATGTGATCTAAAATTATGACTATACACATATTAATGACTCAGATTAAATGACCACGTATCACTGTGATAGGTCAGATCAAGAGGTCTGAAAAAACGAAATAAAACGAGTAAAATGTCATTTGTAACCGAAAGTATTTGTAACTGTATTTCACATAACAAAAAACAAACAAACAGGTTTTTTAAGATTTTATTATATAATAAAATAGTGGGTGAGACTATAATTTATGGATGACCATTGAGCGACGCTGAAGTGACCTTGAGAGTGAACACCTACTGATTAGAACTAAATGAGGGTTATAAACCAGTTAGAATTTTCATTTACGGTTGATAGTTAGGGTTACAAATAAGATTTAGGATTTTCATCACGAACTGACATCAGCTATAATGCCAAAACTCTATTTAGTCAAATGTATGAATGAATTTCACGCCAAAATTCATGACTCGTTATCTTATATCTGATTGGTTCGTTCATAAATTATAGTCTCGCCGAATAATTTTGTTATCAATGCTTTGTAAGTTAAAGTTGAAAAATAAACAAAGATGTTAGTCACGTTAACTGTTATTTACAATTTGATCATCCGAATGTTCTAGGTCTAAGAAAAATTCTATAAATGCTCCACAATAAAATTGTTCTACTATTGTGTTAACTGAGGTGTAAACAAACGTAACTCTATTATTAGAAAACATGAAATAGATACAGAAGCTTGGAACAGAAGAGAGAATGTATTATTTATAAAAACAATAAGAGATTTTATAATCATGTAATTGGGAAAAGTGGCTTCTGCTCCTATACCCTAAGGCTCTTCATACAGTTACAGGAGTCCTATGCTAAGTTTATTTTTTATGTATCTATAAAGCGAAGAATAGATAACATGTTAGCGACCATTCAAGTTCTCATTTGAATTCTTTCAAGAATGCTGCATTGTATATATCTGAATAGTTTACTCCGACAGAACTATTAAGAGTAATACAGTCAAGAAAATACAAAAAAGATCTAGTTTTTCACCTTTTCGTCACATGAATTTTCTCATAGTTTTTTTTAATAAAACCATAACATGTTTTTCTCTTTTTTCCCTACCTTTATTTTTCCATCATCGTCGTCATTGTAATTTTAGATAGTCCAATGTCAGATAGCAGCGATGATTTAAGCCGTGAAGATGAAGATTTCAGTTTACTTGGTATGAGTGAATCGAATACAACTGGTTTATCTGAAAATGGTGTAGCGTTAAATGGATCCAATTCTCTACCTATTAATAACGCTGCATTAAATCATAATTTATATGGAAATTTTAATCCAAGTCACTTAATCAATACTGGAGGTAGTGGAAGTCTTACTGGAAGTACAAGCAGTAGTGGGACAAGTGTCACTAGTGGTCTCGGTGATGAAGTAGTTCATAGTGTAGTTATATCACGTGGTACTAGTGGATTGAATAGTGGTAGTTGTGGAATTGGTGGCATTGGATCTAGACCATCATCAGGAAAATCCGGTGGAAGTAAACGATCAAAAGATCAAAAAACAACTCGGGTAGGTGTGGACAATCTACAAAAAATACCTAGATTATTTTTTCAGGAATATGATGTTTTAATAATGAGTTATAGTAAGATTTGCAAATATCGTTTTTAAAACTTGACATTTTAGCCTATTACTGAATACTTGAATGTAAATCACAAGAAGCAAACATGTGATGCAATCGACGAATGCAAGAAAAAAATCTATTCCGTAGTCCATTCATATTAGTTGTTTGAATCTTCCCATTGATGTTTAAGACTACAACTGATAATTCATTTTTGGTAACTGTGCATCCTGTGAGAATTGCCTCGATTTTGTCCTTAGGTCACGAGCATTTTAAGCACAAATCGATTAATTACAGATCTAAACGTTGATAGGAAGATTCAAACAACCCATACAAAAATGAATTGGAATTCAAATCATTGCACAAGCCCAATAGATGTCAGAAGCTAAGTGGATAACTCTATGGCCTATGAAGCAAATAACATTGATTTCGAGTCCTGGAGTCAAAATCAACTCTGGGGCACAAGTACAGCTGGCTGACGAGCTAAAAAATAAAATAAAAAGTACTTTCTGAATCTCACTGCTAACCACCATCCATCTGTGCCCAAAATACTGCTTAACAATTGTTCATTTTCACTAAAGATACTGTAGGGAATGAAATGCTGAATGTATGAATAATTTATTAATTTTGCTAGTCAAAAATATCTCGGTCGTTTCAAGATGTTTTTTTATCATTGACTAAAGTTCACGGTAAAACTGTTAAAAACCAGAGAAAACTGGTCAGTTGTTTCATCTTGATTGTGAGATTTTTATCAGTACACATCTGTAGATTTACATAGAATTGAAAATTTTAAGTCCATGTATTACGACGAATGAAAACTTTGATTACAACTATAATTAAGCTGATCTACATCTTAAAAGTACCTAACGTTAAAAATCAGCTACAGTTGAATAAATTGAAACAATATAAGATATATCGAAAATTGATTGTACATATTCTTCTAGTTTTTTATTATATCTATCAATACTTTCAAATTGATTGATGTGACTATCAAGTATTTGGTTATTTAGTTTCGTTTGACAAATCATTTATACTTATAAAGAGATACACATATCTTGGTCATCCTGGAAATATCTCCCATTTACCAAACTCGTGGAGGTCTTCATATAATTTAAAAAAACATTATCATAGTCAGCTACATAGCTAATAAAAAATAATTTTATTGATTTATTGACTTAAATGCATAAATATTGGTACAAAGGGGTACCGAATACATATGCGCCACGCAATTTATTTGATTTGTGTGTGGGCTATGATACTACCCATGTGCCAGACGAAGCAGGTAGTTTGCTTGGGGGACCACATCCGGAGCCTTCGACTCAAGCGTCTAATCCACAAGGCAGTGGATTAACGTTGGGAGATGCAGTCCCATGGTAGCCAGTGATCATTGACTGGTTCATAGGCCATTTATTCCTTCAGGATCCTAGAGCTCATGTGACTGTTGGTTTGGAATAAGGGTTTTCCAACTCTCCTAGGAGGACTCACCGTGCCACTAAATCGGTTACGGCACCGGACATTCGCTTTTCATCCTCTTACTTTCATAACCAACACCCCGCCTCGATAAGGTAGTGAGTAGGACTTCCCTGGGAGTAGCTGTATACGCGTGGCCATGTGAGAGCGTTTGGAGGCAATAATTTTTATCAGTAAACATCTGTAGATTTACATAGAATTGAACATCTGAAGTTCACGTATTATGAATGGAATGAAAACTTTGACTGAAAAATGATAGATACTAATGAATGTATTTCATTCTAGTACCTTATTCATCAGTAAAGTTAACTCGTAACGAAAAGTAGAATAAAATTCTGAACTTTTAACTCATTGTGTATGTATGAATCTTTTAAAATTTTTGATCAAAATCCATGTCATACATTTTAAACTCCTGATTTAAAGCTCAATTTCTTTGCTACTGTTATCATAATGTAAATATCAAAGATCATCTCGAAATATATTTTCATATTTATAATGAAATAAGTAATCTCAATAGTTGAAATCATGATTCAATTGAAGCTAGACCTCCATGGAAAACCTGTAAAACGTGGACAGTCGTTTTGTCTTAGTATGGGACTCCCCAGCAGTGCGTACCCCGACCTGGTTAGAGTTCGACCAGGTCTGTTGTGAGATATCAGCTCATTGAAGACGATGGTGTACGGTGCCGCAATTTCGAGGATTGGTTGAAGTTAGACATTAACACCATCGGGTGCCGGCTCAGTGGTCTAATGGTTAAGCGCTCGCGCGCGACACTGCTAAGTCCTGGGCTTGAATCTCACGGGGGGCAGGATCGTGAATGCACACTGCTGAGGAGTCTCATACTAGGACGAAACAGCCGTCCAATGCTTTCAGGTTTTTCATGATGGTCTAGCTTCAACTGACTAATGATTTCAACTATTGAAATTACTAAAATCTCCAAAAAACCCTTGTGAAATTAAGTAACCATTGATAATCTTGATTTTCAAATTTACATGTTTTACATTAATGTTGAAAGTTTCTGAAAGATATAATTCAATATAAAACTATAAGTGAGAGTCAACTGTTCTAGAAAATCAAATCACGGATTATCATGGTTACTTCCTTCAATATTTTGTAAATTCTACCTAGTATCTAACACAGTGATGTAGAGTAAATGAATCACAATCATTCAATAAGTTTTAAATATAACTGAAGATTATACAATCTGATTATAAATCCAAGTACCCAGAAAATCTTTCATTAAACTCTAGTATATATATATATATATAGAAACTGTACTAAAGGGTAACTGATTTGTATTCTTTGTTTCTTTTTTCTTCGTGAAATAGGTTAGAACTGTACTAAATGAAAAACAATTACATACTTTAAGAACATGCTATGCTGCTAATCCAAGACCAGATGCTTTAATGAAAGAACAATTAGTTGAAATGACAAGTTTAAGTCCACGTGTTATACGTGTTTGGTTTCAAAATAAACGATGTAAAGATAAAAAAAGACAATTATTATTAAAACAAATGGAACAACATCAACAGGTAATTCAACTATTAAATTTTTTTCTTATTTAATTATTTATTAAACATTATAATTAGTATTACGTAAGTTACATCACACTTGAATTTATTTGAAGTACCACTAAAAAACGAAATCTAATAATGAATACTTAACTACTGGAACCACTGATCTAATATTACAATAGTATAATGACAACCTTAGTTGATGTACGATGTGAGGTTTTGATTAGACTTTTTTAAGGAGTCTAGTATTAAGACGGAAGAGTTTTTCAGTGCCCTCTGGCTTTTAATAATACTCCAACTGAGATCAATGTTTAACAGATACCATCTACAATTCAAGCAAACTTCCACAAAATCACCCCAAATAAATCATAACTATTAATATTACAAAGTAACTTTAAATATTTGAAGATTTCGCACATTTTTATCGTTTACGTTGAATCGGAATGAATAATGGTACATTTTGTTGAGAGTTCATGAATAATTAACAGCTATTGAGTTCAATGGTTTAAAATCTTCTGGACAGTAGAGTTCTGCATTACATAATGAATTTAGTCAATCTGATAATAAAGTTGAGTATTCTTCATCCATACTTTTGACCTAGTTGACAGTAAGTTCTTGATAAACATTATTTTTAACATTTTTGCTAATTAAAATTTCCGTTCACTTTTCTTGCGTTAAAATTACGATCTAACTCATTTACTGAATATAAGTTTATTTACTTGACCTATGATCACATTTTATGTGTTGTATGGCTAATGAAAGTAAATACGCTTGGGCACTGAGCGACAACTGACAAACGCATCTCACTGATTATTTAGTCTGTGATTTCCTTACTATTATTAATTTCTACTCTAGACTGTTTGTAACTGTGTTGAATAAGGTATTTTTTGGTCTTTGCTCTGGCTCTCTATATTTGGTCATAAATCATGTATCTGGTATAAAGTGATCCAGACTGTGTATATTGTGAAAATTAAGTAACCAGTCTAATGGTAGAATAATCTCAGTCACCTGCCTTATTATCGTTTAGTAGTAGTATGTTATGGAAATTAGAAAATATTTCTGCTCTCCTATTATATCAGCATACATACTTTTTATACATGGTTTCTTATGCACTCAAAATTATGGAAAATAGTTAATTATTTTAGTAAGTACTGTAGTGTACAACTCCATCAGATGGATCAAACTACCTATGGAATAAATTCTCTGGATGTGATGCAAATAAGTTTTTATTTTGACAAAGGTTTACCTTGATGAAATATTGCACTGCTCTCTTGTTCATTAAGCATTATTCTCCACCTCTCTCAACAACATTAAAGAATGTAAAAGTAAGCTAGAAAAGACATTTGATATTAATATTATTGATTAGTTGGTTGAGTTATTAAGTGTAGCTGAGCAATAAAGTCGAAACTTATTCGTGTCTCATAGGGATAATTTATTCCAGTGGTAGTTCCAGAAATCTAATCGTGTTGTACACAACAATAAAGTGTTTGAAATGAACTGCAATTAATCTTCATATATACAAATTAGAAGGAAAATTATCTTCTGATTGGTAATTTCAGTGATAGTGAATTATCCTAGTTTCTTCTTAGTGATTTCTTTTTAATATCAGAGAGATATGTCAATTTGTTAATTATATTGATTGTTTAGAAAGTGTTTCTAGTCCGATATATAGAGTAATCAAATGATAAATATATAATGGAAATAAGTAAAACATTTATTGAAAATAAAGAAGTATGACAGATCTATTTAGTTTTAATATCAAACTTCCTATTTATCAAAGGTGTTAGAGTAATGATCTAATATTGATTTTTTAGTCATTTAGATTTATGATAGGTAACCGATGTAAATTTAATGATACAAATGGGTTTTTTTTAATTTTCCTCCTAAAAGCAAAGAGTTGATAAAAAAAGTGGGATTTGTGGAGATTCTAAAATCACAGTTTGAAACACAAACTGATCTCCGCTAGGCCATCATCGAAAGTTTAAAAGCACTGGACGGCCATTTCGTCCTAACGCGGGACTCATCAGCTGTGAGTAGTTATGACACCACAAGTGACAATTAGGTCCAGGACCTTTGGTATTGCGTACGAACTATTGACTTTTAGACCACTGAGCTGAAATTCGACCGTGTTAACGTCTAAATTCACCCAATTCATAAATCCATTATCTTGGTAATTATCATGTGCTCATCAGTGACCAGACTTAAGATGTTGCTTCTGAGGTTCTAGTGGCAAGTTATGACAGTTGGAGTTCAATTGGTCTCGAGTGCGAGACATTTATCCATAGTATGCAATAGATGAAGGTTGCTCTTTATTGTAAATTGGTTGAACTTAGACATTAAAACCGTTGAATTCCTATTGATAGTTGACTTTTGACACTTAAAGTTATTTGAAATCATCTAAGTCCTTATTAGTTTTACTTTAAATTAAATTATTCTGGATCATTTTAAATGGTTTCTTGAAGACTTGTGTTATTTGTAAGTTGAACTTATCACAGAATGAACTCATTTGGGATACAATTGGAAACTTGAGAACACTGGATAGTTGTTTCCTACTGAGATGTGAGATAGAACCTAGAACATTTAGGTCTCTCAGCAATTACTTAATTATTAGAATCTCGGAGTTTGTATTTATTGATATTACTATTCGTTTGATAAGATATCTATTCAAGTTGTATGAAGTTAACTACTGAATCTAGAATCACAAAAAAAAAGCAACACCAGATATTCACCTGTGAACAACATTGAGATTTAGAAAATAAAAAAGATTGATGGAGATTGTTTATTCTAAGTTAAAACCATGAAAGGTGTGGTTTGATTGAATTCTGCTTTATTTAAAATGTGTATAGTAATGGAAAAAAAAAGGTTCAATCTAGGAAAATTTAATTCTTATGCTTTTTCCTTTTCAATTATTCTTCAGCTGATTTCAGTCTATCATGAAAATTAACTTTCTAGATATATTTTTTCATTATACTTCAGTCTAAATCAACCTCTATCATCCCTCCCTCTTCCATCTCAATTTACCCTTATTTCCTACAATTTTTAAAAAAAAATTCACTTTATCATTTTATGGAAAGTAAATTAATAGAAAATAGTCAAGTAGGTTTACAAGTAAATGATAAGTGGAAGTAATTGATTTTATTGAGTTTTATGATTTAGATTATGCAATTAAATAAGGTATATTGTTAATAATAATAATAATAACCATCTAGGTTACAAATGATCAGAAGGAAAATATAATTTATATGATAAGTATATATAGGATATGGGTAGATAGAATATTTCATGTAAAGAAATAAATTTATTCTCACTTATACTCAAATAAATGATATAAATAGTGATATTAGAATCTGATTTAATCTGCCCTTATTTCAACTGTTCATATATATATGTGTATATACATTAAAAGAGTGGATATATTTTAATATTAAGATAAATTTAAACGTGACTACTTGTGCTATTATAGTGTTAAGTGAGTTAAAATATGTATAGTAAATTAGTTTGATAAACTATAAAGAATTCGTGATGTAACAAGAATAAAAGAAGGGAAACAAAATTTGTAATGAATACATGGTTTTATTTTTATATCATCAGAAGTGGTAGTATAGTGATCAGAAGCATTTAACTGATACTTCAACTATTTCATGGTTTGGTTGAAGTTAGACATTGACACCATTGAATGATGGCCGGCTTAGTGGTCTAGAGGTTAAGCGTTAGAGTGTGAAACCAAAATTACTGGGTTTGAATCCCATGTGCGAGGTCGTGGATGCTCTCTGTTGAAGAGTCTTACATTGGAACGAAACGGCCGTCTAGAGCTTTCAGGTTTTCAATAGTGATCTAAAATCGATTAATTTATGATCTCAATCAAAAGCTTAACAATCTCCACAACCTCATATTGATATTTTACTTTACTTTGTCAGGCTGTAGTATATCTCACTACACCACATTCATAGAAAATACTCATTAAAGCTGAACATATGAACTTGTGTTAAATTACTGAGTTGTATTAATATCATAGGTAAACATTTATTTATAAACTTATAATTGGTCATTTTACATTATATACAATTTGATCTCCTACCTCTCTATATATTCTAAATGTTCAACAGTGTTTATCAGTCACGGTGTACAATATCACATTTAGATCATAATCTATTTGACATGATTAAGTTATTTAGTAACAAGTTTGTATTACTTTAATACTAAGATTTACGTATCACTATTGTTAAACTCAAGGATATTAGATATATACCTTTGATTATTTAGTCAATGAGTGAATTAGGAGTTAGACTTAATTATTTTGGGTTTTATGTTATAAATATTAGGAAGAGTGTTGTTTGTCGTTTTCTTCAACGGGACATAATCTGAATGACTATTTATTTTGTTGAATAGGATTAATCTTTGGTTAAGCGATTGCCTATCCCGTTGATATTGATTACATAATAGCACTTTCTAGTATTGTATACTACTAATACCAATTATAATACCAATTACTATTATTATTACTATGATTTCCGCTTGGAGCCTTCAGAGGCTACTGACAGTCCGAAGCCGAGATAAAGGAGGAGGGTTGAGTATGGGGTTAGCGACCCCATTCCACAGTAAACTAACCCGCTAAAAAGCGCTGACCAGAAAAAATAGTTTAAACCATTTAAACTCAGCCCTGAGAGTTAGTAGAGTTATGATGCTTCATAGTGAAAGCCGAATTCCTTCTGAAGTCACGAGGCTGATGCCTAGGTACATGGAATGTTCGTACGATGTGGAAGACTGGAAGAGTCATCCAAGTTGCTACAGAAATGAATAGTATAAACTGGTAACAGTGATTGATCATTTTATCATATGATACATTCAATTGATTTTTTTCAATGGTATCATTTTCATTATTTTTTTATTTATGTTATGATGACTATGATATAGTGTTTTTTCCATGGTAGTGAGAACATAAAACTTTCTTTAAATATGAGTGGACTGTTCATTATAATCGGAAGTTAGTTAGGGAACCACTGTAAAAAAAATCACAT